TATATATATAAAATAGCTTTATCATTTTATCATCACAATGTTAAATATTAGTGAAATGTCTATTCTTATGCTGAAAGTTTAGCTTTAATGGTACTAATATCATTGGAAAAGAGCTCTGGTGGCACAGTGCCTAAGGCATTTGACTGCTAACCAGAAGGTTGAAGGTTCAAATCCACCAGCCAGTCGGTGGAAGGAAGATGGGCCAGTCTACTTCCGTAAAGATTTACAGCCTCGGAAGCCCAACGGAGGTTGCCATGAGTCAGAATCGACTCAATAGCAGTGATTTGGGTTTTTTTGGAATGGCCATTGGATGGGTTTTAATATGGAAATGGGAGAATATAAATACATTTTAATAAAATCACTGTCTTTTTAAAACCCTTTTCCTTTTTTTTCATGTCTCAGGAAATAATGAAGACATTCCATTTTCAAGACCAGCTGATCTTGACCTTATTCAGTCAACTCCCCTTAAGTCTCTGGCACTGAAAACCCCGCCTCGTGTACTTACACTGAGTGAAAGACCACTAGATTTTCTGGATTTAGAAAGACCTCTTCCAACCCCTCAAAATGAAGAAGTAAGTAGAGTTTTAACCTCAACTGAACTGAAATAATACGGACAAAAGCAAAAGTTTAAAAGGAGAGTTACAAGACTATAAATCATATCTGTAGTAAATGTCGTGAGACCCCTCCATAGGATGTTGATTGCTATGAATTCTGATTTGTAAATACTATATATAAGACATTATGCTGTTATTTATAGTGGTGGTGGTGTTGTTTTTAATTTAAGTATTATGTTTCAGAGAAAATAAAATTTGGCAGGAAGCATTTTCACATTCAGGTGGTCTTAAAAGAGAATCCTTCCTTCCTACATCTTAACCATACAGAAGCCCAGCAGTAGGCAAAATCAGTGCAGTACTTTATAATTACTTTAAAAGCACTGTAAGAATCAGAGCAGAGAAAGCTCTTTTCCCTTACACTGTCCTTTTCTCCTATTGCTGAAAGGGTGCTGCTAAGTGAGCAAATTGTTATGGTTTGAGTTGTGTCCCCCAAAAATAGTGTTGCAAACCCTAACCACTGTGCCTGTGGTTATAATCCCATTTGGGAAGGGGTTGTCTTTGTTATGTTAATGACAGGGTTAGTGTAGGGTGTGTCTTAAATTAGTCTATTTTGAGGTAGAAAAGAGATGAAACACTCATTGGAGAGAAGCAGAGATGGGGAAGGAGAGAAGCCACCTGTTGAGGACTGCCCAGGAGCAAAAGAGACAAGGACCTTCCTCCAGAGCCGGGAGAGGAGGCTTCCCCAGAGCCAGCTCCCTGAATGTGGACTTCAGGCCTCCTAAATTGTGAGAAAATAAATTTCTGTTTGTTAAAGCCATTGACTTGCTTCTGTACTGTATAAATTAATACCCCTGTTAACCTTAATATGGCCGTACGGACTAGTGGGGAGTCTGTAGCCAAGTTCACATCTTGCCTCTGCTGTTGCTTCAGGCACAGTCTTGTGAAGGTGCTTCTCTGTCATGACACCTCCAGTTGCAAGTTTTCCATGATAGCTTCTGAGCTTCTAACACGTTGTCAGGAGGCTGGTACATGGCAGTGTGCAGACATGCTTTTATCTCTTGTTTTCGTTATTTTGTGCTGCTCTAATAGAAAATACCACAAATGAGATGGCTCAAACAAACAGGGATTTATTCTCCTACAATCTGGGAGGCTAGAAGTCTGAATTCAAAGTGCCAGGCTCTAGGGGCTGGGTGAAAGCCCCTCACCCTTGGGCTTCAGCTCTGCCTCTTGCTCCTGAAGCTGGAGGCTTTCTTAACTCAGGCAGCTGCTGGCTGCTGAGGCTGACAAACCCAAGGGCGACAAGTAAAAAGGCACAGTCCCGATGTTACCAACCCACATGGCGGCAGGCAATTAATTCAATTCCATTGAAAGTCCCAAGGTCAGCAGAGGATGGCAGGCCGCTGAACATGGCTGACATGGCTACTATGCAGGGTTCAAGTTTGCCAACAGCTGGAAACCTTCCTCAGAGTTGCTTGTTACATACAGGAAGCAGACCACATTCCTAAAGCAGCTACTCAGCTGCTCCAGTAGATTCCACCACGGAATTAATTACCAATCTCACCATGGGGAATAACTACATCCAGCTGCCCAGCCACTCAAACCCAGGCCCAGCCAAGTTTATAGGTAACCTTAACTACCACATTCTTTATTCACATAAAGAATGTGATTTCACTCTTTGTCCTTTCCAAAGAGAAGAGCACCCATAGAATCTAAGGCAGTGAAGTTTCCTAGTGCTTGTTGTTGTTGTTAAGTGCCGTCGAGTTGTTTCCGACTCATAGCGACCCCATGCACAGCAAGGTAAGAACGGGCGGGCTGGTGCTTACTCACTGATCTGCACTGAACACTTTCCCTTGTTACCCTCCCGAGAGGGACCGGGTCTCCAGGAGCAAGGTAAGCACGGGCGTAGC